AAAGAAACGATGCCTAGAGACAGATTTTGTGAAATTTCAAGATATCTAAGATTTGACTTGAAATTGACATGCCGAAATAGATTGAAACAAGATAAATTTGCCATGATATCGGAAGCTTGGAAACGTTTTATTGAAAACTGTGTTACGTGCTACAAACCAGGTCAGAATATAGCGATAGATGAACAATTGTCTCCTAGTAAAACTCGATGCCCTTTTACTCAATTTATAGCATCAAAACCTGACAAATATGGGCAAAAATTCTGGCTTGCTGCAGACGTGGAAACTAAATATGTTCTAAATGCATTTCCTTACTTGGGAAAGAATGAAGAACGAGATAAGAATCAGAAACTATCTGAATATGTAGTTTTGAAACTTATTGAACCCTTCCAAAATGTGGGACAAAATGTGACTGTTGATAACTTTTTTACGTCTCTGGAATAAGCAAAGAAGCTAAAGGAAAAAAGAACTAGTTTAGTTGGTACGATGAATAAAGCCGGACGCGAGATTCCAGATTGTATAAAAACTAGAAGAGAAGAGTTATATTCAACAAAAATATTAAAAAATGAAGAATCTGGATCAACACTTACTGCTTATCAGTGTAAGAAGAAAAGAAATGTGCTTGTACTGAGTTCCATGCATGCCAGCATTGATATTGCAAATAACTCAAAGAAAACTCCAGAAACCATAAAATTTTATAATGAAACAAAATTTGGCGTAGATATAGTAGATCAGATGTGCAGGCAATATTCAGTCAAAGCTGGGTCAAGGAGATGGCCTGTCCATACTTTTTATAATATTTTAGACTTCACGGCAATAAATGCCTGGATTATTTTCAAATGTGTAACAGGGTAGAAATTATCGAGACGCAGTTTTATTCAATGTTTAGCTGAAGAATTAAGAACAGATTGCAATAAAAAACCAATTGAACGAAAGCGAAAGATTGAAAAAGAATGCGAACGTGTAATTCCTCCCAAGCGTAAAAAGTGTGAAATAAAAAAATTCAATGGTAATGTTACGAACAAAATATGTTCCTCTTGTAATAGGATGGCATGTGGAAAATGAACAAAGAACATAACTTATCAGTGTATAGACTGCGATTAAGTAAGTAGTTTAGTTTACAAGATATGTTATTTGTGATATCAAGAAGCAAAATTTATATTTTATGTAACTGTCAAAACTATTTATTGCCTTGTTATAAATAATCATGTTACTGTAATAATTTTTTTCAAAACGAGAATAATAATCTAAAAGGTAAATATGTTGGCAATATTAATTTTCTATATAAATATTATTACCAAATGAAAAGAGCATTTTATTAAAAAAATATTTAGTTGAGTTTCCACTGGTGTCAAAATGACACCGATCGGCATTCTAGGGGTAGAAGAATAGCCGGCGTTCTAGTGTTAAAGAGTTCTAAAAATGAGCTGACATTAATTTGTAACATTTTCCCCCCAGCTAAATATTAGTAACTCATTAGGAAGCAAAGACATTCCCAGATTGTACGTTAGACACCTGAAATATAATCATAATCAATTTAATAAGAAATATATAAACAACTATACTTTATTCAATTTGATCTACAAAAAAGGTGCACCGAGCACTTTATACTTATACATTAGTTTTTTAGATAATCAAGTTCTCTTTCATAATTGATATTTTGAAACACTTTTTTTTTAATGAAACTGAGACACCTCATACATACTAAAGGGTACTTCATACCCAAACTACCTGGAGTAATGGGATACCTGTCTCCTCCCATCATTTTAGGTATAAGGTTCTAGAAGTATGTTACAATAAGGCTAACATATGAATGATTAAATAGGCACTTAAATTTCATCAAATTATGAAAAGTCTGAAATACTAAATATTTTCAGCAACTTTTTTGAATTACAGAGCAATAAAATAGAGAGGGGCTAAGATCACCCCAGTCATCTTTTTATTGTTAATACAAGAATACTCATGAAGTTTTTGAAGGAACGTAAATAAATATGACAAAAAGTGTCATTAGAACACTGAAAATTATAAAGTAGAGCTAACTTCTTTAAAAAATATTTACCTTTTCATTATACCACTTTTCCTTTATACACTCAGGTGTCATCCAATAAGGTAAACCAACAATTAGTAAAAGTTGACTACGATTCCTAAAATAAACAAATAATGTCTTAATACCTTAATAACCTCTTAATATCTAAATAAACAAATAACATCCTAATATTTTAGAAAAAACAATTAAGCTTAGTTATAAAAAGCATTTAAATTTATAATTCAACAGAAAAAGTCTCAAAATAAGGACAAAAGAAGTTTAAATACTAGCATGTATAATTTAGACTTTGTTAAAAAGATATTTACACTTTTATTAAAAAAATATATACATATTAAGCTTATATTGAATTATTCAAGTGCTTTTAAAACTGCTATATATTTTTGAGACATGCTAATTTTGAATGTAATTAAACAAATTCAGCAAAAAAATTCCAAATTTTAAAAAAAGAGAAAAATCAGATCTTTTTTCCTTTATAGACACTTTACGGTTATGCTGCAACAGTTATTGCACAACATAGAAGTTTGTGTCACAAATCCTTTAACAACTACAGATTTTTCATAGTTACAGAAAATATTTTTAATGGTAGCAAATGTAAAGTATTAATATTTTAATTAAGTAAATTTAAAATAAAATTGTTCACCACTACATGCAAATGATTTAAATTAATGTATGAAAAGTCTGATACGTAAAAGCTCATAAGTTTGGATTAACATTTAACAAAAATTCAATTTGTTTTAAAATTTCTGCTTTTGTTTACTACCACTAGGATAAATATAGCATTCATGATCGCCAAGCACACTACAGGATAAAAGACGCCTTCTAAAATGACTATCCTTCCTTCATATTTTTAAATTTTAATATTACAATAAAGCATTTTTTTTCAAGGGACCGAAGGAAATTGATTTATTTACTTCGGTCAATTGATAATTGTAATATATCAATTTCCAAAATAAATTGATATATTTACTTCGGAAAATCAAATAACTTAAATTTAATATTTCATAAGAACACTAATTTTGACAATGCAATAGCTATTGTTAAGTTGACATTTAATGTTATCGATGTAGAAAAAATATAGAAATAAGTTTAAAATAATCATACCATTACTTAATAATTTGAGTACACAAATATATACAATTCTTTCCACACACATAGACAATTAAGAAGAAAACAAATTGAAGGGGTAAAAATTGTATTTTAGAGTTTAGGAAGCCTTAAGAGTTTCTGAAATCCAAGGCAAATATTTAGAGATTACATGAAAAAAAAAGAAGAAAAAGTCAAAGTACAGAAAAA